ATATATATATATATATATATATATATATATATATATATATATATATATATATATATATATATATATATATATATATATATATATATATATATACCAGTGATTTAGAAAGTACCTTCAATTCTTCTGATAATAACTGCTAGATATATTTTCGGCGAAACACAAAAAATACAATAATTTCGAAAATTAAAACTACGATACAGACGATTTAAAATGAAACGACGATGAAATCCAGCAGCCCAGATGCTGAAAATTAGTTGGTGTATCATTGTTTTTTTATTTACACTATTTTAAACAATTTTTCTGGCTTTATAGCATCAAAAGTTTTTTTATTGTTTTGGCAATTTTGCTCCTCGCTCGCTTAAAAAATAAAAGTTCAAGCGACAGTAAAAGCATGCGCGTGACGTCACTGAGTACATGTTAGGATAATTTCAACGTCGATCATTTGAGTCAAATGTTTAAATTGTTTACTATGTAATATCTTCTACTTATATTATAAAAGAAATAGAAAAACTTGTCGTGTGCGTTTATAGTGCGATAATGCACTTGGGGAATGTTGGGAGAATACTCGAGAAGCGTGTAAAACACTCGGCTGCGCATCGTATTTTTTCACACTTCTCTTGTATTCTCCCAACATTCCTCGCGTGCATTATCACACCATAAACGCACGCGACTCGTTTTCTATTTCTTAAATAAACGTTGACTACGGTAACATATAGATAATGAGTTATATTGTTATTCTATATAATAATTTCCAAACCATCTATTCTATATTAACTGGCATGGGGAGCTACACATGGAATACGTAAAGGAAGGCTGCAACACGCCTGTCAAAAATGCATGCAAAAGCACCAATATGCTTCAAATTCTGAAATTTTCATTCTGTTTCTACCCAAATTTTCCATGAATATAGAACATATCGTTCTTACAAATGGTGTATTTGTTGTTTTTGGAATTGCTACATTTGGAGGGTAAATTACGTCACAAACTTGACGCCAAAAATTAAATATAAGCTATTGGTGATTTCACTGAACCCATTTAGTAGAGCAGACTAAGGGTACTTTCATTAATTAAAACTGAAATCTGTTTTTAAATACAACCATTTTGTGGGAAGATATAGCGATACAAATGTTGAAAGATGCTGCATATTGTTACTAAAAATAGAACAAAATGGCGGATTTTTAGAAATTTAAGTCATTATATATCTTCGCAAGGAATGGTTGTCAGAGACGTAGGGACCTGAGGGTAGGAGGGGATGAAACTCCCCCTTACTGTGAAATTCAGACAAAAATCATGTTAAATTCAATTAAGTTGAAATTTTGACATTTTCAGTTAAATTTGCGTAATAAAGTAATTATTTTTGTGAAATACAGTCAATTTACTTGCAATTTGTTTGCGACGTTGCTTTAGAAAACGCCAGAAATTCAGTCCTAGAGCTTAATTCAAAAATGTAATTTTTTTTTCAAATTTCG